CGGATCCTCCTCATCCCAACCTAGATGCATCGCCGCCACTACCTTCAGCGGGAGCAGGTTTGCACCACCGCCGGCGTGGTGGTGGTGTGCGCTGCCACCGGTGCGGTGGAGGGTGCCGCCGCCGGTCGCCAGATCCACCACCGTGTGGTGTTTGCGACGAAGCTGGATGCGCCGCTAGTGGGGAGGGAGAGGGGCGCCACCGGTGGGGAGGGAGGAGGGGGCGCCGCCGATGAGGGAGGGAGAAGGGGGCGCCGCCGGATGCAGGGCCCCGACCCCGTCGACGCCATCACCGGAGGGAGGGACGGGGAGGGTTGCCGCCGCCAGATGCAGGGGGGCCCTCGTCGGCGCCAGTACCGGAGGGAGGGGAGGGCGCCGCCACCTGCCTCCCGTGCGTGAGAGGTCGAGGGAGGGGCCGGGTGCCGCCGATGCCTTTCCTTCTGTTGTTGTTTATTTTATTCGGTGATGACTCCAGGAATCGATCGCTGGTCGCCGCGCACGTTTGAAGCCCGCGTGCGTGACGGAGGGCGCGGGGGTGAGAAGCCTGTAATCACACGTCAAACATCGGCCGCCGGATGGGATTGAGTGTTTTATTAGCGCTTGATTTCAACATACACGAAGTGTTTGTATTTTTTTAAGTGCACAATGGTGAGATGCTTTTTAGCAGGGAACGTTTTTATGGAGGGACTTAGTATAATTTTAATCGGTCTATTATGGTAGAGATGATGTTGCATAGGAATAATTATAACTAGAAAACCTTCGCTACCATCTTTGATAACCATATGATTTTATTGGCCTATGTTAAAACAATAGAGTGTTGAAACTCAATAGAGTGTTTGACATCTTCTCAACTAATGTGATAGGAATATATATTCTATGACAAAGATAAATCAATGATAATAGTCATTCAAAAAAAGAAGGAGCAATACATGATTGATGAATACGTGAATCCATGAGCTTTAGTATGATTTATTGTACTCAGAGTGTCGTAGTAATTAAAATGCATTTGATCTGAAATTTAGTATTTGGTGAAGCTTTTAAGAAGATTTATTGTCACGACTTATAGTGAAGAATAAATTGATGGCACGGCTGAGGTGACAACACAAATTAAATAGATTTAGTGTTCATCTGAATTGAGAGACTACAACTTCCTATCTATATCTGAGTACTTACATCTATAGAACTCTTGATGCAAATCAGTACATGTCTAGGAACTGATGCTAATTGCCAAACCACAAATGAAAAAGAACATAGAGCCTACCCAACTCTTGAATATATATTTTATAATGACACGTGTGGTCCACTGAAAAGAAAATGAATCTATAAAAGATTATAATTGTCCAGCTGAACTGATAGCCTATAGCGTCCTTATAGAGTTCACAGTTATAATTCATAAAATGTGATGAGCTTTGTTCTCGCTTCTCATCTATTTGTGCATAATAAAATATAAATAATAAGTTGCAAGAATGAATTACCCGCAACTTCTAGAATTTAGCAAATGCCAACATGGTTTTACATTTTGGGAACTTAGCAAACAAGGTATAAGGAAATGGTATTAGAGGAAGCTTATATTGATATGCGATATTCAAAGTGGCTATTGAAATCATTAGTGTCATATTCTTTAGCACCCACGTGGTGCTTAGTATTCCGTGCTCACTCGCATGACATGGAAGCATAAAAGATTAATAAAGCAAGCAACAATTACACAAATAATTAGCGTGGATTTCCTACATTACACACGGACCTTGCATTTCTAGGAGCAAAGATGCTTCAAACCTTCACGAAATGCATCAACTAATGAGCTTGTCCCAAACGCAATATATTTGAAATGGGAGGCATTTGTAATCACATGTTGACCTTGAGTGATGAAAATTGAACAAAGGAAAAAACGTTTGTCATCCGAATTCGTAGAAGAAGCACCGATGAACACCAAGAGAAGGCATCTTAGTGCGCCGAGAAGCGTTAAGCTTTGAGGAAGGGCATGGATTTTGAACTAAGATTACTTGAGTCACATTACAATTACTTAAATATCATAAAGTATTTGGGTCTACTACATAACTTGATCAAAATAAATGTTAATGAAACTAACTATAATTATCTACTGACATGCATGTTTGTTTGGTTTGTTACTTAGATTGTTTATTAGTCAGCAGACGATCATTCGACTGAGACAAATCATTGAGTACATGGTGTGTATCCATCGCATGCATGTGTAAGGTAAGAGATAAGAAACCAAGAAATTGACATTAAATCAACCTAAGAAGTACAAACAGGCTCATGAACGAATCATTAGATGGATTCTCACACGATTTCAACAATAAGATTATGAACAGTTGCACAAGTGTAGGGTGTTTGTGAATATTGTGTATTGCTAAATGTCACGCTTTAGTCTCGACGCTTGTTCTCAAGAGATCTGTATTCAATGGAAAATAAGTAGTATCTAGAAATTTTGTTTTGTACGTGCTACAAAGCTACACCTACATAGATTTAAGTCCTCTCTTAGCAATAGTCTTTCTCTTGGATGAACAGTTTGTCCTGTTCTAAAGTTTTTCATGCTTTTCTTGATGCTTCAAGTATATTTTTCTTTTCTTTTGTCTGTATTTTACTATACATAAGAAAATAGCTTGGACCATGTTTACATTTTAGGTAAAAAATAGGTGCTTAGGAGAGTGAGCCATCGCTTAAGATTAGTTCTATATTTTGTTGCTAATTAGCATAAATCGCTCTAGTGGGAAGGCAGTTGGATTTGGATCACCGGATCACAAGTTTGACACAAGTAGCTCAATCATATGAAAAAACTTTATAATCTTTGCATTGCATATCTGACATGTGCTGATAAAAATGGTTATGAATCTGGAGAAAGGACAGAGTTAATAAAGAAACTGAGTGGTAAACTTTAGAACAACCCAAAGAACTATGCGTTGGTTGAAAATGCCTACCAGTAAGACTGTTTATATTTCATTTTTTCCAATAGCATCGTTATGGGACTTTCTATAACTAAAATCTACTTGTATAAGTGTAATATTACTTCCTAGATGTCAAATTAGGATCTACTACAAAGCAAAAGCCATATTTTTATTCCGATGTTTACGGATGCACATTATACCGAGGATGGTATCAAGTCATATCCAAAAAATTGGCTGTGACTTATATTTTCCCAACTACAAGTAGCAAAAGAACTAACCATTAATCAAAGAACTGAGATTAGCATAATCACATATCAAGCAACAATTTGACATACATGAGCTGCTATTTCAGAGCCTATTATTTGAACTGTATGTGTAGTAAAAGGTACAAGTATGTATTTTTTGCTTTCGTATTACTAAAATATCCTAAATCATATAAAATAAGTTTTACTTTTTATCTATATATAATTCTGTAACCTTGTTAGCAGCATGGTAGTAGGCCTCCACTACAACCTGTAGTAGGCATTGCAGCGGCAGACCTCCTAGAGCATAAACAAATGATAGTACCCAATATGATGAGTGCTTATAAGAAAGAATCTTACATGAGTATGGAGGCCCTTTGCTAAGATTTTAGAAAAGGTAAACCCTATCCCACACAGGAATAGATAAAGAGAAGTGTTTGTACTGGCTCAAGTATTTTGATTGCACACTGAAAATTTAGAACTTTTTCTTCCACAAACTCAGATGAAATAAAAATGTAGCATATGCTAACTTTGACATTTCATAAGTGGTCGCTATACTTCGCCATTTCATCACAAAGCTTGCAATTAAGTTGTTTAATTATCTAAAATATGGAATTTTATATGGATCTGGTCATGTGCAGTCAAGTAGGACTTAGAAAGAGAAAAAAAAATACCTTCGTAGATATGAACATATCCTTTCTGACTGCTCAGGCAGGAGGTTGAAGTAGTAGTGAATGGGTGTCGGGTTAGGGCAGCTTGTCGCCTGCGGCTCCTTTACGTAACGTGGATTTTCACATGGGCCGGTGTCCACATTTTCTCCACGGAAAGTGCATTGAGCATTGCTGTCGTCTGGAGTCTGGAATAAGCTCAGCCGAAAAGCGACATTTTGTTTAACAAAGCAGGCACGCGAGGCGTGTGAAAGCCAGTGTGGACCCCGCGTACGCCTGCGTCGCGTGGACCCCACGTCGCTCGCCGCGGCTCGTTCTTCTTAGCCTGAGACCAAGCACCGCCGCCATCCTTGTGGCCCGTGCTTCTCCACGCCACAAAACCGCGTGCCACAAGCGCTACCTCGCTCTCGCTTCACCGTGATGCAGCACATTCGTGTCCACGGTTCCTCATGCGTTCTCCGCTTCCCTCGAACTCTGACGGGCGTGTGGCGAGCAGAAGGACCTAGTGATGCTGGCAAGTCCCGCGCCATCGAACCTCGGGTGGGAGTAAGGACGACGAGGCGGCATTTACAAGACAGGAGGCGGCTCGTGGCGCATGAGTATGAGCGGCGCATGCCAGTTCGAGATGGAGGGGGGTGAGTCGAGTGGTTCCGAAGCATTCTGACGGCTCGGTTGCGTGGATTAACGGGTAGGAGACCCGAAGACCACGATCGAGCAGTGGACATGGCTTGTTCACGGATCGGACGATCAATGACTAACAGACGACGTGGCCCAATCAAGGTCTGCCCGCTTTTTGAGGTAGGATTCCTATATAGAGACGTAGAGAGATGAGCAATTGAAACCCACCGCAC